ATTTGTGCCAACGTTTCAACCCAAGGATGCGGGTCATCTTCAGGGCGTTTGAGTACCGAGGGTGTTCAAATACTCAAAGGAGTACTGAATATTTATCACCTATGTTAAGTTTTCTGACAATCTATTTCGTCAGGATAGCTTGTTTCCCATTTTCAGAGTTAATATGAAACCTTTGATATTTAAAAGAAAAAAAAATGTACAATATCAAATGTCGAATTATATTAAATAATCGTTTTGTAACATGTGTTAGTCATTAAGCCTAAAGCAGAGATTTTTTTTCGAATCCGTGCATCTCAATATAAAGCCCATTGGTAGAAGAAGTGTTTTGTGAAACATGACGATTCGAGGATTATTATATTTATTTGTTTAAGTTATTGATAAATCTTGATAAAAATTTTATTTGGAAGGGACAAGTTCATCGTTGTTCATAAAGACTAAATCGGTTATGTCCCTAACCAGTGAGGAAGACACCTGGTGTTGATTAATTCAAGAAGAAGCCCAGATTAAAAATCTGAGAGGGCTGATTAAAAGGGCGAGAAGACAAAGAATAAATCTGAATTATTAACACATGGAGAAGGGCTGGCTGATAATTGCATTAACTAAGTGGGAGGGCAAGCCAGCGGAAGGGTTGCGATAGCCTGTTTACTGGGTCCAAGGCTCTAACTCAGGGCACCGCTATTACTGAAGCTGTAAAAATCTCTTCTACCCCTTTAATACCATTATCTTATATTTACGGGTTGGGGGTCTTGTTTTTGAGCAAGGGTTAAAATAGCCCCCCCTCCTCTCCTCCATCTCATAATTCCTGAAGGAGTTTCTCTTCCCGCTCTTTAAATATTGGGTCCTGAAATTTATCTCCCTTGTTTGGTTTATCCGCAGGGGGTCTCAGACAGAGCAAACACTTTCTGTCTGATTATGTTAACGTTTTAATAAGGCTTGGAAGACGCCGATGGATGAAGGAGTGAAACTTTAGGAATTGGAAGGCAAACAAACAGCAAGCGAATCGATTTCAGGAGGAAAAATTCATAGATTTGAGCAAGTTGCTTGTTTTTTTTTCTGTCATAGATTAATAAATAATTTTCGATAGACGATACTGAGGATAAATATTGGGCTAATCCTTAAGTAATGATTTATTGTATTTGAAATTAACACAAGAATAAAGCAAAATCTGTAAGTAGACTAGTGTTCCGCACAAACTATTACAGCAAAACTTTGAACTCAATACGGAGACAAGAGGAGCTAGATATTCTGGTATTAAATGTTAAAATTAGGAAATTCGGCTTCCCAGACTGTTTTGAGAGTTTATAAAAATGAATCAGTTGGTTAATACACAAAAAAATCTTTATTATGATACATTGCTTGTCCCATTTGCAATCGTATGAAACCACCGAGTTACCTATACATTCTACCATCATAAAATTAACCAAATCGATAAATTAATTTTTTTTTAAATACAGAACAGTCCTACTACATGTAATCTCTAAACTTCGTGTTCCAACACACATTGGATATAAATTAGAAAAAAACCATCAACAACGAAGTTCACTTGTATCAAATTATTCTCTTAACATGTTTCTGATATTTCACTTAGTAAGGGAAATTCTTGGAAAACATTTGAAAATGTTTTACAGACAAGAAAATAATAGCAATGTGAATTTTTAAACTCAATATGGAAAATACATTAAGTGATACATAACCTGTTATTTTTATTTTTTAAATTAACACAAAGCCAAAAACAAAAAAAAATCAATATAAGACAAACAGGAGACCTTAGGCAAAAAAACATTAGCAAGGTGAGATTAATAATATGAAATATAATTTTTGTATTCTATATTCAAAAAGTAATATAAAATTGCAATATATAAATCATAATTGTATAAATTACTCTAGTAAATTTTTCTCTGACTGATCGTCATTTCTATCATACTCTAAAAATGATACAACATGTTTATGGTAAGTAAAATATATGATAAATAATTTTGATTGAAATCTATTGGCTAAATATAACACTATTAATTTTTAAATATAACTTCTGTAACGGTGGTCAGTAATTTGTCGAAACTGTACCCAGTGCAACAGGAAATCGAATAGAAGCACATTATTTCTTACTTTTGTGGCTAATTAAAAAAAATTATCTATATTGACTTCCGCAAATTGGCTTCTGATCTATGAAATCTTCTGGCTGGTATGGAATGGTATTAAAATTTTGAGATATTTCAATCTAAATGTTCAAAACAGTCGTTATTATTTGTTTATTTTTTATTTATATTTTCTATCCTTTTCCCTTTCCGACTCTCTAGCTCCAGCCGACTTTAACCAAATGAGCGTTACATATCCGAGCTCAGTATCATTCACTAACCACAAAAAAAGTGCAAAGTGCACCTAAAGAAGTTTTCATCTGAATGTTTTAGATTTTAACATATTTACAAAGATCAATCACATGTAATAGTTAGTTGGTTTCACTAGTATGCAATATTTTCTCACTCAAAAAAAAAAGAATGAGGCTATTCATAATACTAACACTAACTCTTGATTTTTGAATGCAATGAGCCATGACATTTTTTTTTTCCAAAAGTAAGCCCTATTAAGATTTTTCACTTTTCATAATAAAAGATATTTCAATTCTTGAGATATGTCCTGACCAGCCAGAGGAAACTCCGTATCATGGGTGGGGGAGGGGAGTATTTTAATGAATGAAAGTGACATTCCTCTAATCAAGAAGAAAGGGTGGAGAGTACGTGGCTGCTAACGAAGAGGCGAAGGACAAGAGGACGAAGCTAATGTTAATTTCGGATCTGAGTGACTAATGCAATTATGAAAATGTCTCTCCTCTTTTCTTATTTGTTGGGATCCGTCCCTCTTCCTTAGCGAGGATACCTCCGCTGTCTGAATCACAAGCAGTTTCGCAGTCACCTGTTGTAACCTCAGTAGTACACGCTTATTTAAAAATATCAATAGTAAAACTCTAGAAAATTTTTAAGATCAAAAGAAATTTTGATAAAAAATAAATAAATCAGCTAAATAGACTGCAATGAATATCCGAAATATCAATTCTAAATTATAGTATAAAAATAAATTGTTAGGTATGCCATATTACATTATAATATGCGTACACATATTTTATTATAAAATACGTATATTATTAAAAAATAAAAGAAGTACAAAGGTAGAAATTGCTACTCAAAAGTGCTAAGACGCTTAATGACAAGGCATATTCATATTTACGAAAAATGATAAAATTTGATGAGACTTTCCTGAATTTCGAATGTTATGTTTTGTTTTTCTTTATCTTTTCTGTCTCTAGAATTCATAAAGCAAATACCAGAATTAATATAGGTGGCTGTGCAGAATTCCTAGCGAATACAGAATAATTCTTTTCAATACCAAGCTTTCCCAAAACTTGTTGAAAGAGGAATGGTACTTTTATTTTCGGAACTAAGTCCGCGAACTAAAACTTATTTCGTACCAATTAGCAGTCTATATTTTTTTCTATAGAAAGTGTTTTTAGATTTATTAGATCTTCATGGTATGTTATTTTCCTTTGAATGAATGGTTAAACAACCATTCACTATTTTAATCTTATGATAGGAGGAAATAGATTTTTTAAAAATTGTCTATATTATTTATGCACCAAAGTAATAATATGTTTTCAATGAAGAAGACGTAGTTCATATTAAAACGTTTAAAATGATTTATTTTCTATTATTTTTCAATTGTTCAAAATAATAATATTATCAAAAAAAAAAACTGATAACCATATCATATAAATTTTTCAATAAATTTAAATATATAAGAACAGATATCTCTAATCCGTTGAAACAATGGCCTAACTCCAAATGATACAATATATTTCTGACGAGTGATTTTGTTTTAAAATATTTTTTATAGATATCATTTTTAATTCAGATATAGTAGATGAGAGCGTTGTAAATTATTGCCCTATAAGGAGAGAGATAGTGGAATTATTTTTCTATTTTCAGATTCAGAAATAACAAATATTTGTTTGTTTGAAATTATTGTTATTCGCGAAAAATTATCAAATTGAAAAGATTTGATTTGCCTTTTGTTTGTCATTGTTTGAACGAACTGGATTGCGGCTGTTTCACTGAAGCTTGGGTTTCTAAAACCTGTCAACACCTAAAGCTCTGGCGGACAGTGTCCACAGTGGGCAGAATGGCAACCTCCTCTACGGCAAACGATTTTGGCAACAAAACCAAAGGTCTCTGCCACACACGTGTATCGATACCTTTTCAAAATTCATACACACGTGTTGAGTAACAAAAGCTGAGGGAACAATACGGCCCTAACAATATTTACAGCGAGGGCAGCCCGCGGCGGTTTGGTGGAGTCTCTCTCGCGGTGTCACCCAACCCCTCTCTTACCAACCTAACCCAAACATTACATTCCGGGGCCGCAAAGTAACGGAAAGTTATTTTTTTAAAATAAATAAAATGAATCCATTCAAGAAAAATAGTGTAACGATTAATATTTCTAAAATTAATATTTAGGTTTTTTTTTTGGCTTTTACAATTTATTTGCAATTGTCAACTAAATGTTGACGATCAGCAAATGAACTGACCATACTCAAAATAATGAAATGTCAGGCGTAGAGAAAGATTGTGCCAACATAATCTATTCCCCGGTTTGATTTAATTACTCTGGTTATTTAAGGAAAGAGATCCATCGCCTCTTTAGTCTCCTCCTCACTTTCAGTGGACATTTTTAAGGATATTTTTATTTTTGTTGGCAGAGTTTCTTAAATAAGTTATTATAGTTAAAATATTTAAAATAGTTAGTTAATCCCTAAAAAAAGTTGTAAATATTGATAATTTATGATAAAATTAAAGTTTAAAATGGGGCATATGAATTGCAATTTATTTTTCGGATGTAAATTGACAGATTTTCATTAATATTTTTAAAACAAAAAATTATAGTTTCAAGAGATGAAAGGTGACAGGTCCTACACACTGACTAAATATAGTGACTATCAGTTATTAGGTTACCTTTGCCGATGCTGGTGGGGGACAGGGGCCTCTCCTTTGGCGGGGAGACACTGCTGGAGACCGCGGGCACACTGACGACTCCCTCCCTGGCCACGTCCTGGACCACAGAGGCAGCCCTGCTGCCGGCCCCCGCTGGCTGGAGGATGGTGTACTGCTTGCTGCCGGGGCTGTCCGTCCGTTTGGTGCTGGTCACCACCTCTGGCTCCTCTTTGATCCTCTTCTCCTCCACCCTGGGGGGCGGCGGTAGGCCCGGGTACCCGACGAAGGTGGCGCCGGCTGGGTACGGACCGAAAGAGTCCATTATTTTCTCCTTCTCGATTGGCTTGAAAGCAGAGACGAACTTCTTGTCTTCTTTCTCTTCCTTTTTCTTCTTCTCTTCTTCCGCTCCAGGATCCGACATATCTATTTCTAATTCATTCGAGGAGTCGTCCACTAATTCGTTGAAATCCGGTTCATACCTGGTGTATTTTCCTTCCTGCTTCACTTTTCCGACGGTTGTCTGTATAGAGGCGCATTCGTTATCGATTTTTAAAAGGTTTTCTAATTCGTTTTTGTCGACTTTCTTCTCTTCCGGTTCTTCCTTGACAATAGGATTTTTATTGATGTCTGTCTTTTGTGAACCTCTCAAGGTGATCACGTCTTTGATTCCGCCGTCTAAAGTGGACTTTTTCTTTTCTTCGAAAAGATTTTCGAAAGCAGGACTCTCGTCCTGTTCCCGGAAGTTGTCCCTGGCGGGCCAGCTTCCAGATAGTGACTTAAGAGCTGCTTCAGTTTCCCTTATGAGTGTTTCGTCGTCTTGTTCTTCTTGCTTGGCAGCTTTCCTCGCAGGACTCCGAGACGGCGACACCATCAACGTTCTCTTCTTCTGCGGCAGGGTTCTCTGAGAATCCTCCATTTCGGATTCCTCGTCTTTCTTCCTTCTCCGTTTCCCTGCTGAGTCCTCTTCCTCTTTCCGATTTAGTTTCTTGTTCAGGAGATCGGCTATCTTGGGCTTCCCCTCTTTCCGGTTTCCGCCCACCATCCCCCCGCCGACCCTGAAACACAGAACAAGCTTCCTTTAGTAGACAGTCAATTTAAGTAGCTCTTAAGTCATTCACAAGAATATTTTAGACATCAAATATGAAATAATCAAATGTACTTGGCAGGAAGAATAATTTTGGCCTTTTTCTATACTGTTTTCGCTTCTGCTTCGAACCGTAGAAATTTCGTGAAAAAAAAGTAAAATATTTATTAGAAGGAAGAACTCATTACTTTAGGCTGCTAAATAAAGAAAACACTGTAAGCAAGTCAGAGTTAGAGCAAAATAATGATAACATTAAGAATTGACATGCCATACAATTTTTTTAAAAATAATTTCTTCGTCTTTCTGAAACTGATTTAATTTTAATTATTCTGTAATAGTCGTGCGGTGATAAAGTATTTGAGTGAAGGAGTTTCCAGGTATGGCAAATTTTACCAAATGAAAATTTGATAAAATTTGTATTTATTGTATTACAAATGACTATTGTTGGTTTTAATATAATATACGAGTATCAAGTTAAATCTCATTTGTTCAACGATAATTCATGTTTCTTTACTTATATAACAATAAATAACTAAACAAACTGAGCTAAATTACATTAAAATAATATAATATTAAATGAAACTACAGAATGGCAAAAACATTTTTTGAAGGAGAGACAGGTCTTGGCTAGTGAGAATTAATGAGATCTCGTAAGAAAAAAAAAACGAAGACAGTTACCTTGAATGCGTGGCTTTAATCTTGAGACGGGAGGGGAGGGAGAGAGAGGGAGAGACACCTCACAAATTATGGTACAATAAAAGGTAAGATTATGGCTTCTAGTAGTAACTGTGTTACAAGTTGGCCATCATCCGTCTTCCAGCTGAAAAAGTCCGCTTCCATCCCCGCTAATGTTGGGCTATCAGTCAGTCCCCCGTCTACTGGTGAATTTTTTACAGCCACCAAATTGTCTCATTTCCCCTGGCGTAACTTAACGGAGCAGTGATGGTAAGATATCCAGGTAAGATATAAGTCAGGAGGAACTATGAGTAGTTATGAAATACATTTTATAAGGAATACTTCATTTAGAAACAACGAAAAAAAACCACAATTTAGAAACAGAAACACCTGCCAGTTGTTATTGTATTGTAATGAAATTATGTTTGCTCGAAGTTCATTTTTTCTACTCGAATAAAAAAAGATAAATGATTAAAAAAATAAATAAAAAATGCACAACTATTTTGACCTGCCGTACGGATTCTTTCATAATTGATTAGATTTTTTGAAAATGCATTTTTTATTTCAATGGCAATGGTATAGTTCATTATATTATAATAGTATAGATATAGTTTATTAGTTTAATTATTAAATATTAACACTTCGTTAATGTGCTTCATTCTATTGGAACCTACATCTTATTGATTTACAAATATTCTCGGAAATTGGGAGTTTTCAATTTGGAGATCGGTAAAGTTATATTAATAATGAGCAACCTTAGTGTGGAACAGCCGGGGCAAACGCCTCAGTGGACTGGCCTGTATGGGACGTCTAATGGAGGCGCTGGCCGATCTTCATGGGCGTTTGCCACTTGATAGAAATTTAAAAAAAAATACAAAACGTCTTTAAGTAATACAAAGCGTATCAATAAAACAAATTTATTAGATAATTGTTGAATTGAATAAAATTCGAACATTACACAATATAAAACGGTCGTATGAAATAAACATATTTTTTTTGGGGGGGAGAGGAGGGGAGTAGACGTCATTGCCCAGGGGCGCCGAATGACTTAGGCCAGCACTGATAACCAGGTACTTACAACTCATAAACACTCATTTTTAATAAGTAAGAAAACAAATATTACATTTGACACAAAAAATCTTAGAAATGAAAATAACACAAAACAGGAACTGTTGTATGCGTTAAGTTCCTTAAATTTAATGATAATTGTTTTGAAAATCGATGAACCCACTAACATAGCAGGAAATACACTTGTCGGGTCGGTCCTGCAAGAGGAAATGAAGGAATCAGATAAGGGTGCGTTAGGAAAATCAAGGAGAAGTTTCCATGACAAGAAACAATGAGAGGATAACAAAAGTTATTCACATTTCCTGGGGCTCCTAGGAGCAGTCCCACATCCAGGGAGCGGTGCCTGGCACCGAACCTCTCGTGCGGCTCCACTCGTTAAGTCTTGTTTTAATTAGTAGCCCTGGTGTGAGCCACGTCAGCCCCTCCCCCTCTCTACAATAGCTTTTCTTTTAGCACGGCTTTTAGTAGTTGGTTTAACCAGTCGAAAGAAGAGAGGAGCTGTCGGAGAGAAAGAAGTAAAATTAAGGTAGAGGAAGAGCAAGAAAATATGTCAAATAGCACGAGCAAATGAACTTTAATGTGGGTAAAATATATGAAAAGGAGGGATATAGAGACGCCTATGAGAAAAGACTGAAATTGTACGGGCATATGGTCAAGATGAATACAAATAGACTAAATAAGCCAAATGTTTATAAAATGTTAGGCTTCAAGAAAATAAAGATGTATCCGTAACAGATAAAGAGCGAAATAGCAAAACTGAGGATTACAAGCGAGGATCTAGATAGGGTTGTACTCAGGATTCGGGTTCACCGAATAAATGTTCTAGCAGTGGAAAGTAGCTGTAAGGGGGAGAAGGAATTGTCGGAGAAGTAGACAAAACACTTCGAGAGGAGGACGGAGGTAAGTAGAAAAGACAAAAAAGACTAAATGACATTAATGTGGTTTTAAGTTAGCCTATTTTGCTGCTACAAAAATAAAATAATGTATATATATATATATCAGAGGCTCTCCTGAACAGATTAAAGTAGATATAAAGAGATTAGGGATCCGAGAGGAGGATGACTAAGACAGAGAAACGTTTAGGGGGATAGTAGGTGAAAAGAGGTTTCTCATGATGGAGGAAAGAAAAAGAGGAATAAGGTGGACAGAGGAGTGAAGAAAGGATATAAGAGAGATGAGGAAGGTGTGAACAAAAGGAAAACCTAGAAAAATATATACACAGTCTTTAGCGGACCTATATCGCAATAATATATACATTGGTACTAATATATATATTAATAAAATAATTATAAATATATACTATACTATTATTAAGTATACTATTATTAATTAAACGTATACATATTTGTACAGATATATATAATTTATACATAATCACAAAACATTTAAAATCAGAAGTTTTATTTTCTTTGCGTTCCTGAAAAGGTTTTTAAACGGTTACCAATACGGCTTGTTAAAAACGTTACCATAACAAACCATTAAAAAGGTCTTGTAACAATCAATCGTTCGATGTAAATAAAATAATTGATCTCGTCATATTAAAAAATGAACCCAATATGATTGGTTCTAGTAAAAAAAAGAAGAAATCAATCATTAATCTTGTGCTACATGTCATTAAAAAAAAAAAATTAAAAAGATTGGAACTTATAGATCAATATTGTATTGGAACTAAATAAAAAAGATAAAATTTGAATAAAACAGGAATTATGTTTGAAATAAAACAAGGAAGTAATAATAGGGTATACAAAATTTTAAATTTAAAAAATATAAAAATAAATACTAAATATAAAAATAAAAATAAACTAACCCTAGCGAAAACTCATTAGATATTCATCTTTCTCCGTAATAAATTCGAAGTATACGTGATATTGGGACGGGCGGATCTACGGGGGGAGGGGACTTTCGGGCTGAAGCCCCCCCAAAATGGTAAAGTATAACCAAGTTTTATCGAAAAAAATATTAAAAAAGTATCTCTTAAAGTATTATTGTTCGTGTAATTACATTTAAAAGGGCTTTAGGAATCACTTAAACACCATTTCATACAGGTAGCTAGTTTCTTTCTTTTTTTCCAAAGTAATTATGGTTATTTTTATGAAAAAAAAACTTTCGGGCTGAAGCCACCCCCCCCTCCCCCCCAAAAAAAATAAATTCTGGATCCGCAAGTGGATGATATTGGTGAAACCATGTTTAGTGGAATGAACTAAATAATTCGACACACACGGTTGGTAAAGCTACATATACCTACATACATACTTTATAATGACTGTGTTGAAATAAAAGTAATTAATTAAAAAAATAATTAGATTCCTTTATTAAAAAAAATTCCATCAGCAATAATTCTCAGCAAGCCATTGAATTATATTAGCTCGTATGTTATTCGCCGAGACTTGGCGCAGAAGAACAGAGATCTATGGTTAATAATTTTTCCTATTACACTTATTAAGAGTGAAGTATAGAAACCACACCAAGATTATCATAACACTTTTTTTTTTTTTTTTATTAAACGCCTCTGCCGTTGGCTATTAGGCCATTCGGCTTCTGGCAGCCCGGTACAACTCCGCCATGAATCCTTTGTTTACATTTGTTCCGATCCCATCAGAAGTACTGCGGACATCTGACAGAGCGGGGCAAACTGGGAGGTGCATGTCGTACATCTCATAACACTCTCATTGTATTAACTACAAAAAAATTAAAATATGCCACAAAACATTATATTTTGTACTATCACTAATTCTATACTCATTTAATTGTCTGTAATTTTCAGAAAATGAATAATTTCTGATTTTCTCGAAAATAATAACAGACATAATTGCTCGCGATTGAATTTCTCCGATAGCAGCTGGTACAGCACCCCTACTCTCAGCGCTAAGGAGAAGCCACATAAAGAAAATACTTTATGTAGGACTTCGATAAGCGCCGCGGAGCAGACACGCATACACATCCCCTACTCTACTAGCCATCTTAGCATCTGTCCTGAATATTTAACGGGGACCGTTAAGCCCCTATTCCCCTTTAACGTTACCGTATAGGAAACAGTTAACATAAAACAAATAATGTACCGTCATCGGCAAGAACAGATTAGAAGGACCTCTTGTTTTTCCTACAAACTGGAGGGGGCCGTTCGATAAATTATTTAAGCAGGTTTGTTAGGAGGGCAAAAACCAGTCCCTTCTGGAGCCACGTTCGCCCAGATATTAGGACGGGATTAATTCTACTTATTGGGCCAAAT